GTTTTCGACTTCGGCCAGGGCTTGCGATGTGGTTTGTACATTAGACATGATTAGACATTGCCTCTGTCACTGAATTGTGGCAGCTTGATTTGTTTTCTTGCACTTCTTCCCCGTTCCTTTGTGCCGGTACGCTGTCTCCGAGAGGCAAATGTTGCTATTTTTTGCGGGAGGTTTAGTTGGAGTAAACAAACATCTCTTTCAAAGGGTTTCTTTTATTACTTCCATGACTCTACCACTGAATCATATTTTCGTTCTGCTACTCGCCAATGTCGATGTTATTCCAAAACAAAAACAACTAAGTACTGTCTAAAACACGAAGAAAAATCTCATCCACGTCATCCATGGCAAAGCTAAAAGACAGCAGATCGTGTTTCATAACTAGATGACGTGTATTTTATAAATGCGTGCAGCTCGTGCGCGTATCAATCTAAGTTTTTGTTATGTTATATAAAATTTATCCCCCTTTAACATATGTAAAAATTGAGGTTAAGAAGTGTTAAGCTTTTGCAAACGAGACGGCGAAAGACAATTAGGTGATATTTAGTGGAAGGAGGAGGTATTCAACACTTTCAAATTAAACTCAAATTTCGGCATTTTACGACCAACAAGTTTGACTTATAGACGTACAGACACAAACATATAAAACTGTTTATTGATATTGTTATGAAACAAATTTATTTATTTAACACTGTAGCCTGAAATTACAGAAAGAAAATAGGATTTCCGCTTTGCAAAAAGGAAAATTTCGCCGGCCTTCAAGCGCACCGGAAGCGCGGAAAGAGCGCTCGTGCCAGTCCTACTCCGCATCACACATTAAATGAAGAGCGGAGCGCTCGTTTCACCGCCCAACCTTTATCCGCCCTGCTTCGAGACGTATCGATGCACGTTTGTTTTAGGAATTCAATAAGCACGCGAGAGCGAGCGTATAGCACACCTTCACCGCCAACCCCATGCAATAGTGATCCATAAATCACCTCAAGTCACCTCGCCTTTTACCGCCCACTTGCGCATAAGGCCTCCATACTTCTCCGCCAGCTATCTTGAAAAGTGTATCGGATTTCAGTAATGATACTTTTTTACGGGGGATGGGACATTAATCAATCGCCCAGCTCCAAACCTAGAGGGTAAGGCGTTACAATGGAGAGAAGTGTGACGTCACGTTACTATGGTAGCAAAATTTCTGGATTACAGCAATAGGGAGTTTTTGCAACAGCAAAAAAAGCAATAGGTTTAGATTGGCAAAAGAACAACTTTGCACGTGCATCACACTTTTTTGTACATTTCTTAGCCGTTGTTACACGACTGCGACAAGAAACTTCCTAATTTCGCTCGCACGCTTTATCGAGTAGGTGAGCACAACACAAAAATCTTCTTTTTCTTCTTCTAAACTTAAATACGGTTCTTTCGGAATCAACCCAGAAAATTTCGCCAGCATTTGGCAAATTAAATCAAACTAAATAAGTGCGATGAAGTTTGAAACAGTCCGAATCCACTTTTTAAGTGACGTTTTGATTTGTTGTCATCCAGAAATATTGCTACCATGGTAACGTGACGTAACGACTTCTCCCCTCTATTTATCTGGCCTTTTAACTGAAACCTGCTCAGCATGGCTGAACCTACCAGGATCACCAAGTCACGCAAAACCTCCCCGCCTTGTTAAGGCGCAAAGCTTAGGGAGGGGTCAATAAATCCTGCGCAGTTTTTATTTTGCATGCGCGCACGACGAACTCTAAAGAGGAAATAGACGATCTCTTGACAGACTACTCCTTAGCCTCTCACGCAGACATTCTTAGGGTTTGGTCACGCGTTCCTTCCCCACGACAGCAACGCGTGACGAAACCCTAGAACGTAAAAAGTTTACCTGAAACAATATTTCTAGCCTGCAAAAACAGCCACCTCCCTCGCTCATCACCGCTAGCAACATTTCCTAACCAGGAGCGAGGAGATATGGCTGTTTACGCAGGCTACAGAGGCTACAGCATTTCAGTCACCCGTCACTCACCTATTGTCGCCTCCAGTTCCTGAATTGATGACAATATAACAGTTGGAGTTGTCAGAAACAGTACGAAGATGAACAGCAGTGTATTTATTAACAGCGCCCTGGCCCACCAGCTTTCATTATCGACGGACAAGTGTTCCCAGATTATATTTCCAGATAAAGGGGCTACTTTCACATTCCAGTGATCAGAATATATCTTCCTAGACACGGACGACTCTGGACTGCCATGTTTAACTGTGTTAAAATCCTTAAGACACCTATAGTGAAAGACAAAGTTACGTAATGAGCACCACTTAAAAAGACAAAGAGGACCCTTTCAGTTTCAGATCACGTTCACACGGCCGGGCCCCGTAAAAATTTGGCCGGACAAATCGTTCACACGGCTACTTTCACATTCCAGTGATCAGAAAATATCTTCCTAGACACGGACGACTCTGGACTGCCATGTTTAACTGTGTTAAAATCCTTAAGACACCTATAGTGAAAGACAAAGTTACGCAATGAGCACCATTTAAAAAGACAAAAAGGACGCTTTCAGTTTCAGATCACGTTCACATGGCCCCGTAAAAATTTGGTCGGACAAATCGTTCACACGGAACCGTTCAATATGTTCGATCTATTCACAAGGAACTGACGAACCAGGTTGAATTTTAACTTTTGTCAGAGGCCTTTGTCACCTGCCCATGCGCAGAGCGCTACTTACGAACCTCGCAGCAGAGTTTCCACGCAATCATACAACCATGCCTTTCCCGTACAAAATTCTAGAAAGTTATGGTGTTTACACCGCGCCGCTCAAATGTGCCACACAAAAACTAGACGGTTATGGTGGTCAGACTATTGATCGTACCCACTTAACATTTGACCTCGATTTTTGCGTTCCCTAGAGAAAGCGCAGAGCGTTGAGTGAAGAGATATAGAACAGGATCGTGGGCGGCTTTCTAGGTCGTGGAGATCGTCTCGAATATTTGGACGCTGGTGACCATCCTACTAGTCTTAGGCGATTGGAATCGTTTCAGTCGTTGGGATTGTCTCCATCGTAAGAACACTTTTTGGGACAGCTCAACGATCCATACCCTGCGAGCAGAGGCCCTTCGATCTTCCTAAAAAAGTCGGGAAGGAAGTCTAGGAAGATCGAAGGGCCTCTGCTCGCAGGGTAAACGATCCAAACAATTACTTCAAAACCAAGCTTATGAGGACCACCAATTATTTTTTTTCGGGATACGGGATTTGGCTTATTTGAAGGGCGGGATCCGGGATTTTAGTGTCAAAGGGAGGGGGGCGAGATTCGGGATTGCAATATTGATTGAGGTGCGGTTTTACGATGCGGAACTCGGGAAATGTCTTTTTAAGGTTTCACAGTTTGCCCACAGTTGGTTCGACCCTGTCACATGACCTTTTTGGCCGTAACAAGTACTTATCCCAATATTTGCCACTGGGGCTCCGAAGATGAGGGGGTCTTGATCCTCTGTGAGACACTTTCGGTACCCAAAAAAACTGATAAGAATTCATCATCGGGATTACGGGTCGAGACGGGGATCAGGGGAAATATTAGTGGCAAGTGCATAAATAAAACAATCAAAAAGGAACAGGACGCCAAAGAGCACAAATATTTTGTTTTTGTTTGATTTTCTTCAAATTGAAAAACGTTTCCTTACCGTAAAACGCATCATAACGCAATGTCAAAATACGAAACTGTTTGAATTAAGCATACATGGCTTGTGACAGCCAAGAGTTCAAAGCGACGTTGCTTTTTGATCCTTCGAAGTCGGTTCCACCTATCATTGCCAATGAGCTTGTCACGAGTCTCACGGTTTGACGATTTATCTCGCGCTCTAACAAGTTAACTACTAATTTCTCTTGCTTTCAAGAAAGTGGATTAGGAATCTGTTTGAAAGCAAGGCTACATCCGAATTTACATATACACTGTATTGTGCATATTCGGGGTATACAATAAAGCACAGGTAGCACAAGCTCGAAATATGAGCATCGGCGAACATCAGCATTGTTGCGTAACATTCAAAATATAGGGATTTGTATGGGAAAAAAACCTATCGTTTCTGTAACCTACGAAAATGAAAGGATTTCAATAAAAAACAGCTTACCTTACGATGGGTTTTTTTTTCCCATACAAATCCTTATATTTTGAATGTTACGCAACAATGCCGATGCTCGCCGATGCTCATATTTCGAGCTTGGGCTACCTGTGAATAAAGTAGTGAGTACTTCGCCTACTTTATCAGCTTTATTCACATTTACGTGTCCTCAGTTGTGTAAATAATTACTTAATCTTACTTAACAACTTTCATTTGTCTAGTTAAGGTAACAGTGGTTTTGACACTTAAAAAAGTGATTAAAAAGTTATTTTGATCTTTTTACCTTCTTTGGTTTTGCTTTTCTCTTGTTTCTGTTTGTTTGTGTTTTTTTTTTTTTTACATTATGCTACCAATTGAAAATTTGCATCTTTCTTTAATTTTGCAGCACGTTTAGCGAAACAAATTTAAAAACCGGGTCACCTGGTCTAGTTTCGAGACGTAGGAATGAATCTATTAATTTCATCACTTTGCTATTATCATAAAATCGTGTCTGCATGAAGAACAGCGACGTGATTCATCAGTTTAACGTCACCTGACTTGAGAGACTGTGGTTTTATAATAGCTGCATACAATGTCGCAGATCACGATACCGGCCTGATTTTCTCACAATAGCCGAGTGATGAAGGAAACAAAGATTCCGCTATTTATATCAAAGTCTCGAAACTAGTGGTTCAACTTGCAATTTGCATAAGAACGACGATCTGAGAAATTAGCCGCAGGTGCTGAAACGAAGTTACCCCACGCACAATTGAAACAGTTATTTGATTTAAAAGCGAAATTAACAATTGGTATAATTCAGGATTTATCCGGTTAACAAGTTCCCACACTATATCACGAGTAGTTTATAAGTGGGGCCACCAACGCAAAGGTGTCTATAAATCGTTAACGATATTTTAAGGAGAGACATCATGAATTTGAGTGATAATGGAAGAAATAGGTCGGATCACAGTAGAACGGAAACTATAGTTATCATAAACTCTGTGCTTAATGCTCCGTTGATACTAATATCCATCGTAGGCAATGCTCTGGTCTTGCTCGCCATCTTCAGAACGCCTTCCATACACTCAACCTCAATGATTATGCTGACAAGCCTTGCGTTTTCGGATCTTCTCGTTGGTCTCCTAGCACAACCACTTTTTATTGCGGACGAAATCACAAGCTTAACAACGCAAAACCCTATATTATACCGTCTATCAGCAATGATAGGGTTTTTTGTCGCTGGAGTGTCTCTCGGAACAATAACAGCCATCAGTGTGGACCGCGTTTTGGCGCTTCACTATCACATGCGGTACGCCATCATAGTGACCAACACACGAGTCAAATGCACCGTAGGAGCAATTTGGTTGGTCATGTTCCTGTCTTTGGGGTTTTACTTTTGGGACAAGTATGTTTTTCACTTAATGGCAGGTGTATTTTCGGCTGTTTGCATTATCATTTGCACAGCTTCTTACGCAAAAATTTATCGAATTGTTCGCGTTCACCAGCAACAGATAAACATTCAACATAACGCTGTGGAAAATGAAAACGCTGGAAACAAAATGCACCTGTCGAGAGTCAAGAAAAGCGCAATGAGTACGTTTATATTTTACATTTGTATGCTATTTTGTTATTTTCCAGCCTTTGTTTTACTGACTCTGTTCGGAACATTGCACGTAGCATGGAAACCCGAATGGACATTTTCCTCAACTTTAACATTCATGAACTCTGCCATTAATCCTTTTCTGTATTGTTGGCGGCTCCAAGAACTTAGAGAAGCGATTGTCAAAACAACGAAGCAGCTATTTCACCCACCGAATGGAAACTGAAGTAGGCGACGCATGAAGCACAACGACGACAGCGACGTCAACAAGAACGGCAGAAAAGCAATAGGCTTAGATTAAAAAACGACAACTTTGTACGTGCATCATGCCTTTTTGTTCATTTTTTTGCCGTCGTTGCACGACTGCTAGACTACGAGCAGTCTCTCTTTTTTCTGTAGTCCGTCGAGCAAAACGTGAGACACGCAAATGGCCACGCGCGTGACAGATGGCGCGAGACGCGCCGTTTCACGCGTCTCGTGCGCGCGCGTGCATTGCTCTCACTAAATCTGAAGAAAAGGAGAGACTGCTTGTCGTCTACACGACTGCACGTCAAAGTGCCTTATTTTACGCTTTGAAAGGGATGTGAACACAAGACATCAACTTTCTTTGCCATACAGTTCTTTAGAATTCAACTCCGACTGAAAAATTCGCCAACATTGACGAATTCAACGAGATGGAATAAGCGCGTCAAAGTTGAAAGGTGATGTTACACAGGACGATTCGCAACGACGATTTTTAGCCCAACACAGCGTTGCAATGTTGGAATAATGTTGTAACCATTCGAAACAATGTCGCAACAATGTTGCAACACTGTGTTGCGCTAAAATCGTCTCGTGTAGGTCTAAGTCTACTTAGAGAACGGTATGGAAGACAACCCATGTTTGCTCTGGATCTTAAACGTGTTTCAGTGTACATTAGACTCAGAACGTCTTAATGTCTGCTAAAAAGAGGATAGAATATTTGCTTAAAAGGGTCAGGTTTTTGAGAAGTGTCAATGTCAGAAGAAAACGATGGTACTCCTTAAAACGAATTTACACTCAACAAAAACGTGAAACTTGACCTGTATTACTCAGATACCGTGACTGCCTTTACTTAATATCACATTTCTCATATTTGTAGAACTTGACAATGTATTATATCTGATTTTGAAGTACGTGTCGTAATCCGGCACCTCTACAGTCAATATTGGTACAATTGAATTACATCTGATTTTGAAGTAAGTGTCGTAATCCGGCACCTCTACAGTCAATATTGGGACATGGAGTGTAAATGTATAAATTGTGTCTGTTAACCAAGTCCTACGATGTAACCATTCAAATGAAAGCTACTGAGCAGTACTTTCCTGTGGTACTGTTTATTATGCTGTACAACGTGGTTCTAACTTTTGAGTCTGTGGATGAAATCCTATGATGTTACCATTCAAATGAAAGCTACTGAGCAGTTCTTTCCTGTGGTACTGTTTATTATATCATACAAGGTGGTTCTAACTATTCTCTATGTGAACGAAATCCTATGGTGTGACCATTCAAATGAAACTTTTTCATCATTAATTTAGCACGGTGAGTTTTTTTTTCGGCATTTTCCAGAATGAGATTTAGACCTATTGTGATGATACTAAACAATGAAATGTTGAAAACGAACTCCGAAGGCAGTCTCGGGCAAGAACTCTCATAGAAAGATATAATTTGAAGGAGAGAGTAGTTGTTTTNGATTTTGAAGTAAGTGTCGTAATCCGGCACCTCTACAGTCAATATTGGGACATGGAGTGTAAATGTATAAATTGTGTCTGTTAACCAAGTCCTACGATGTAACCATTCAAATGAAAGCTACTGAGCAGTACTTTCCTGTGGTACTGTTTATTATGCTGTACAACGTGGTTCTAACTTTTGAGTCTGTGGATGAAATCCTATGATGTTACCATTCAAATGAAAGCTACTGAGCAGTTCTTTCCTGTGGTACTGTTTATTATATCATACAAGGTGGTTCTAACTATTCTCTATGTGAACGAAATCCTATGGTGTGACCATTCAAATGAAACTTTTTCATCATTAATTTAGCACGGTGAGTTTTTTTTTCGGCATTTTCCAGAATGAGATTTAGACCTATTGTGATGATACTAAACAATGAAATGTTGAAAACGAACTCCGAAGGCAGTCTCGGGCAAGAACTCTCATAGAAAGATATAATTTGAAGGAGAGAGTAGTTGTTTTAGTCAAGAGAGATCTCATTCTCTCTTGTTTTAGTACAATAGTTAAAGGCCCGTTAAACTGCTCCAATTGCGTCTGGCCGAAGGATCTCTACGGTCAAGATGTAAAAATGTACACTTCGTCGTCATTTGTTGTATCCTGCGAGCAGATGTTTCTCTCTTGCCAACTACGCGACAGATAAGCGCCGGATGCGAACAACTTCGTAAACGTTAAAAGCCATGCAAAGGAGAACAATCTGCTCGCAGGGTACGTGTTTTGATATATAGTTTCTTTCTAGCGCGTTGAATACGCCTCGGCATAGTTTGTATGGAAAGAAGAAAAAAAAAACTTCAAAATTTGAAAGTTTTGTACTGTATGCCAGATAGACTTCAATTAAAACTCCTGCTTTATGAAAAAATGACCTACTTATAATTAACTGGCAATATTCTCTTCAATTCTTAATAAAAAAAAGTAAACCTATTAAAACGGGTTAAAAGTAACGAGAAACGAGGAGGGAAGCTAAACTAAATTGCAGAGAAGTCAGGAGCCTGAATGAATAAAAAAAACTTGAAAAATTCGTGACTGCTTACATGCGTCTTGGTAATTTAAAAAGTTGTCTTTTCTGCCACATGAGCTGAAAGGCCATTTCGTTTTACTTTCGTCTATTTTTAATGAGGTTTTAAATAGTGGTGTGCCGATCATCGATTATAATCGATCATTGATCGAAAATCTTTTACGACGCGACAATCGATTATGGATGATGACAATCGATTATTGCGGACAAATGAAAAAAAATGTTGATGACAAATAAAAACATAAAAAAAATTGTGTGTTGTATGCACATTTTAATGCACATTTTGATGGTTCTCTTAGAAATTTTTTTTTTCGAAATTAGTAGCTGGCCGTAAAGAACATATTTAGATCTACTTACTGCGATCAGAAAGGTTACAAGAGTAGATGAAAGCAAAACAGATATAAACAGCTTGCAAATATCGAAGCGAAACTCAAGTTGGTTCCCAGGGTCCACTCTTCGTTGTCTCGTTTTCATGTTGTCCACAACAAACATGGCAGCTGAGTTTTTTATCAACAAATTTTCCGATTATAATCGATGAACGATCGGGTGGGTCAATCCGATTATTTCCGATGATCGATGATAAAATCTCAGCCCATCACTAGTTTTGAAAGATCTCATTTATAGTGAGTATAATAAAACACGGATGAGTTTTTAGCTCCATTTCTTAACGCAAAATAATCCAAAACTGAAAGGAAATTGTAGGGAAACTTTCTGAGGCCACGACTGGGCTCGCTGTTAGTGTTTTTATCAAGTGCAAAACACTCGTCTGTGTGTCGTGTTTTACTGTTAATGAATTAGTCCTACTACTTTTAACATTTTAAAATATATTTTTTTAATTCACAAAGTGGGCTAAACATCAGGAAAACCAGATGCTGGAATAAAACACGTAAGAAAGGGTACAAACAACCGCAGCAAACAAAAAAAGAGAAAACAGTGCGATAAAAAGTGAGACGAAACGATCAAATTCCACGCTCCGTTTAAGGCACTTAGAAGATTTTCTACAAACAAAAGGCTTTTTTTAAGGACGGGATCCGGGAATTTAGTGTCAAAGGGAGGGGGGTGGAGGGATGGGGGGGGGGGGCGAGATTCGGGATTGCAATTGTGATCGAGGCAAGGTTTTAGGATGCGGAAATCGGGGAATGTCTTTTAAAGTTTTCACAGTTTGCCAACAGTTGGTTCGACCCCGTCACATGACCTTTTTAGCCGTAACAAGTACTTATCCCAATATTTGCCACTGGTGCTCCGAAGATGAGGGAGTCTTGATCCTCTGTGAGACACTTTCGGTACCAAAATAAGCTGATAAGAACTCATCGTCGGGATTACGGGTCGAGACGGGAGTCAGAGGAAATATCGGTGGCAAGTGCATAAACAAAACAATCAAAACAGAACAGGACGCAAAAGTGCGCAAATATTTTGTTTTTGTTTGATTTTCTTCAAAGTGAAAAACGTTTCCTTACCGTAAAACGCATCATAACGCAATGTCAAAATGCGAACTTGTTTGAATTAAGCATACATGGCTTGTGACAGCCAAGCGTTCATAGCGACGTTGGTTTTTGATCCTTCGATGT